TCGAACAGATCAAATGTAACTTGTCATCCATTTTAGTTATAAGATATTTGATATCAGATTGGTCAGTATTGACTTTGACTTTTGTGCCTATAAGGTAAAATCTAAGTTTATCAAATATAAATACTCTAACAAGTAACCCGTTTTTAGTAGTGGTGTAATTCACTTTTGCTTCATTAAGAGTCCTACTCGCATAGTATATCACATAAAAAATCCAATCATTTCTCTGTCCTAACACAACCCAAACTGCATAATCACTGACATCACACATGAGTTCAAATAAAAATTCCCAATCAAGTGAAACTATAACAAGTGTAGTGAATAATTTTTTCCTTAAAAGTTCAAAGGCTGCTGGGCAATGTTAATAAAACATAAAGAGCATATCTTTTCCTAAGAAATGACACTAATGCTTTGAAATTTTACAAAATTCCTTAATATACCTACAATATAATTTTGCGTTCCCTAAAAAACTCTTGATCCTTCTAGCCGAAGTTGGTGGGGTTAGTTTTTCTATCAATTGAATTTTAAATTTAGCGTTCCATCACCATGAATTGACATTTCTTCTAATTTAGTACCAAGTCTCTTCACGTCTTTGCAAAAATTTTGAAAGATGATTAAGACATGAATTAAAGGATATGTCAAATACAAAAATGTTGTCCATAAACACCTCAATCCCTTTTTCGATCAAGTCTAAAAAGAAAGACAACATAATATCTTGGCATCTTTCTAAAGACATATGTTCCATAGGGGTTGGTGAAAGTTGTTTTATCTCGATCTTTTGGTGCAATAAGAATTTGGTGGTAACCCAAATAACCATATAGGATGCAAAAATAAAGGTGTCTTGTCAATCTATCAAGTATTTGGTCAAGGAATGGAATGGAATATGGCTCTTTCTAGTTGTTTTATTCAACTTCCTTTGGTTTATATAGATCCTCTAACGTATGACACTCCTAGTGGATATAAGTTCATTATTTTCATTCTCCATTACAACCACACCCCCTTCTTGGGTACACTATGTATCTGGTTAACCCGTGTACTATATGGATTTGGGTAGATAATTCCCACATTTAACCGCCTCAATCTCTCATTTTTCACTAGCTATTTCATTATTGGGTTTAGCCTTATCTGAGGGTCAGCATTGGGTTCATGATCTTCCTCCATTAATATTATATCTATGCACAAGGAAGAGCTAATACCATCGATATCTATAATAATCCACCCAAAAGCTTTTCTTGAAGCCCTCAATACTCACATTAATTGTCTCTTAATGTTTACTCAATCCAACAAAAATAATTACAGACAAAGTAGAAGATTATCCTAAGAATGCATAATTTAAATGTTTAGGGAGAATCTTAAGTTCCAAGTCTGGGGCCTCAACCATAGAAGGTACTAATGGTTAAACATCATCTAAGGTGTTTAAAATCTCAAAGCTATCCCAAATCACTCTAGGGATCTCTTTTAACAGTAGAGCAGATTCCTTCTTAAGGTGTTTACTATTATCTTCAATCACACTCCACTGGGTCAATCTCCACGGTCTCTTCTAATTTGATTCTAATCATTCCATCCAACACATCTTACTGAAAGCATGAATCAATGTTGGGGTTTTGGGAAAACTTAGTTGATTTCAAAACATTAAAATAACCTCATGAGCATTGATTCTCATTGTCAATTCTCTTTTTTGAATATCTATCATAGCTCTTTATGTAACTAGAAAATGTTTACCTAAGATAATCTAGATCTTCTTATCTTTCGTCATATCGAAGAAGACGAAATCAGCAGGGAAGATAAATTTATTAACCTTAACCAAAACGTACTCTGTCACCCCCTTATAATAGGTAAGAGAGCGGTCAACTAACTGTAGGTTACTATAGTAGGCTGAATTTCTTCTAAGTCTCGTCTCTTAAAGGTAGAGACATAAGGTTGATGTTGACCCCAAGATCACATAACACTTTCCCGAATAATTTCTCTCATATGGCATAGTGGATGGTGAAGCTACGTGGGTTTTTATTGAAGGATAACACTACACTCCTCAGAGCTACAATTTCAAATTCACACAGTTTTATTTTTTTATTCAATACGTCTTTCATGAATCCACGTAAATAGGTATTTGTTCTAAAGCTTCGATGAATGAGATGTTGATTGTGAACTTTTTGAACACTTCTAAGACCCTCAAGAACTTTTGGTCTAATTTATGTTTTTAAAGTCTTTGGGGAAAATATATTGGTGGTCTTTCTTGTTTCATGAGTTTTGGACAAGTTTTTCACCAGATCTTTCAAGCTCAGGTTTATGTTCTTCCTCACGAGACTCCCTCCTAGTCACCTCTTCCAATTCCTTTCCACTTCTTAACTTAATGATTTTCACATAATCTTTTTTTTTTTACTTTCTTGATTCACATCCGTATTACTGAGTAAAGTCTCTTGAGGTTTGTTACTTGAATACTTAGCTACTTGACCAAATAGATTTTCAATATTTCTCATGACTGCAACTTGACTTTATAATTGATCCTCCATCTATAATACTATTTATTTCATAGATTATTTCTTTTCTTTGAATTAAGTATTGGAAGTGAATTATGATGCATAATGAGATCTTGGGATACTATTGTCCGGGTCCAATTTCTTGTAGGATTAGGTTGGTTGCTATCTGTAACACTATTTCTTTCAAAGATATTTTCTTTTTTTTTGAACTAAATATTGAAAGTGAATCATGATCGGAAGTTAGATCTCGGGTTACTATTTCCCTATTTCAAATTTCTTGTCGGATTAGGTTGGTTGCTACCCCACTGCCACTGTCCTACATCTTGATTATTGTTATTTCAATTAAAATTTGGATAGTTCCTCCAATCGGAGTTATAAGTATTGGAGTCCATGTTGTGGGTATGTTATTAATTGCATTCGTAAACTCTACATACATAATAATAGGATCAACTAGCTGTTCATAAGCATTTTCTTGTATTACTACTGATCCTAGTGCATAATTCAAACCTAAATTGTCTAAGTTCTTGAATATTGCCGCTGCTTGTGAAGTTAAAATTGCTAAGACATTATTATCATGGACATTGGCTATCTTCCTTGGGTTTAATCTCTTAGAGGTCAATTGAAAATTATTTGTAGTCATTTACTCGATCAAAATATAGGCCTATTCAAATGATTTAGATATTAAAGATCACTCAGTCGCATTATCTATAAGCGATCTCAATGATCCCACCAACCCATTGTAAAAATTGAATGATAAGTCAGTCAGGTAGAGCATGGTGCGAGCACCTCCTAAGCATCTCTTTGAACCTCTCCCAAGCCTCATAAATGGATTCACTATCTAATTGGATGAAAGACATGATATCATTCTTAAGTTTGACAGTTTTTGAAGGTGGGAAGTACTCTGCTAGGAATTTCTCATCAAAGTCAGTCCAAGTTGCTATAAATCCAGGGGCTAAAGAATTCAACCAAAACTTAGCTTTATCAATATGAGAGAATGAAAACAACTTAAGTGTAACAACGTCGTCTGATACATCGTTATTACTAAAAGTCGTATATAACTTTAGGAAATGAGCTATATGGAGGTTTTGTTCTTCTACAAGCGAGCCTCCAAATTGGTTGTTTTGAACCATCTGAATGATACCAGGTTTGAGTTCAAAAGTGTTAGCCTGAATGGTAGGGTTATTGATACTCCTCTGTGTTTCATCTACGATGGGGTTAGCAAATTCCCCAAGTCGTCCAGACATGAGATTCTATTCTTGAGGTGCTTGTCATTTCTCTTAGATTTTTTTTTTATTTTTTAAAATTTTTGAGCTTCTTAATAATTTTTTTTTAGTTTAGGGTCGTATGGCACAAGATTAGGTAATCCAATCCTACACATACAACTTAAGGCTATCACCTAATGGCCCTAAATTAAAAAAAAAAGCACAAACTATGATTCAAAATGTGCAAGGCGACAATCACTTTTAAGGCAAATAATGTGCTAAATATCATAAAAGAAATCACAAGATGCAATATTTTTGGATTTTCACAATATAAATAACAATACAAGAAATGAAATACACACAACACCATACTGAATAAATAAAATACAAGTTTCAATTATAATCTTCAAATATTTTAATTAGAATTTTTCTAAATTAGAAATTTAACGTCGTTCTCCAACAACAGTGCCAAAAACTTGTTGGGTCCACATTGCTGTGAAGTAAGGATCAACTATACAAGTGCATATGTCGCTCAAGTAATATGCAAATTTGAGTCTGTGAATAGATCCCACAGGGAACTAGTTAAATCTTCTAATTGGGTTAAAGTTCTAGTTTAATAAACCCTAAACCTAGTTTGAAGTGTTCAACATTTATGGTTTAATAAAGAGTTTAATTCTTAATAATCAACACCTAACTATGTTCTTAGAGTTCTTCAAATTAAATGAAAATTTTATACTAATCAGATCATGTGAATCCTTAATATTCTTTCAATGAGTTTTCCACATTATTATTAACAACCAGAGATAAACCCTTTCTTAGCCTCTGTAGAGGTTGTAAGAAGCATTGAGAACTTGTATTAAAGTTAAAAAGACTTAAACATGCAGAGTCTCACAGGAATTCTCTAGTCTCTTATTTAGGTTATAATTTTCTATAGACAATATGTATATTCCACTAGATTACTGATTGTTAACTTACTCGTTCTTCTAGTTGATGGTTAGAGGCCTTAGATCACAAGTGATATTAACGTCTTAAATGATCAGTTATAAGTAAATCAAATTCAGAAAGTTAACACATCAACTTTAATCAAATTTTTAATTAATCTAGGGAAATCTCATGGAGAAAATATGAATCATCATATGTCCAAAATACAAGAGTATGAAAAACACTTTATATACTAAGGATCATGCATCATTAATCATGCATCGTTAATCATTCAGTGAGGCATAGATAAATTCAATAACAAATACATACATAGACATTTTATGTGAGCTTAATTTATGCTGTTATATGGAACTGATTTCATTTTTGCTGCTGATAATTGCAGGGGTCCAAGTGAGAGTAGCACTAATAATGTCTAAACTTATCATGGTAGCATAGCAAGATAAATCAATGTACCATAGATGGATGCGTGCTTCCCAATGCATATTCTCTGGTCTTAGAAGTTCACACTAGATTTGTGGCGAAGCTTGTCATGTTTGATTTCAAAATTAAACACCACCCAACAATCATTTACAGGCCAATTCGGCCATCTGATCTTCAAGTTCTTGAGCTGATCCATGCTTCTTTATTCCCCGTAAGGTACCATGCCGCCCTTCTGTGTACATGTGATTCCTATATATATTATCACTGGTTTAAATCATCATTAAAAAAATGGTGCATTTACATACAGCACACATTTTTTATGTCTTTACATATCTCACACCTATACTTCCATATTAACACACATAGCGCTCATATCTTTAATTTCACATCAAAATGGCACTATTAGCTTTATTTAAAACTGAAATACACCTTGTCAGGCATAGGGTTAAAGCACCAAAGTGCTATATATATATATATATATATATATATATATATATATGTAAATATGAAAGTTTAGGTGCGAGATATATAAATACATAAGAATTGTGTGCTACGTATGTAAATTTCCCTAAAAAAATCTCTTCTCTGATATTCTTTTGCAGGTATGACATAGACTTCTTCCTCAATGTTGTCAATGGGCTAGGCATCGTCTCTTGGGGTGCTGTTGACATTAGCCGGTCAGATGGCCGCTTTGATGAGCTTATCGGATTTGTCACAACACGCATCATCTCAGTAAAAGAAAGTGAGGTAGCGAACTTACATAAAACCTTTTAGAAAAGTTGAATGTATAAAAATATTTGAAGTCTTTGCTTGCACAGATTGAGAATTTACTAAGATATGACATGTCAAGGAAGGATCAAACTCTAGTCTATATCTTGACACTTGGTGTGGTAGAACAATACAGGAACCTTGGCATAGGTTATTTTCTTCTCTATCTCTTTTTTTATGAATGATTTACATACATACCACTAAATTCTTATGTATTTACATATCAAACTCAAAATTTTACATCCATGCCAGTATGAATGAAAAGGTGTAGTTAATTTTTTTTTTTTAAGTTAAAATAGTTCTATTTTTTATGTGATTTTAAATTTTGGGCAGCATAGATGTAAAAAGTAAAATTTAGGTGCTAGATATATATTGCCTCTTTTTCTATGTACCTGAAAATGTGTATTTTACTTTTTTAAAGTTAAAATAGTGGTCTTTTTGATGTGATATTGAAGATTTTGTTGGTATAAATTTAAAATGTAAAATTTTACGTATTAGATATGTAAATACATAGGAATTAGGTGGTATATATGTTAACCCCCTTTGTTTTAAATTCTGTGATTTGACTGATTTACTTTTTTCTTTTGGTTACGACAAATGGATTATTCACTGTTTAATTCCGAATTTCTTTCAGCTTCTGCACTGGTTCGAGAAGTTATAAAATACGCTTCAAGCATTTCCAGCTGCAGAGCAGTATATTTGCATGTCATTGCTTACAATCAGCCAGCCATCCATTTCTATCAAAAGATGCTGTTTAAGCTTGTAAGAAGGTTATTGAAGTTCTACTATATTAATGGGCAACATTATGACTCATTCCTATTTGTGTACTATGTTAACGGAGGTCAGTCTCCATGCTCACTTAGGTAAGTGTAAAATTCCTTCTCTGTAGGAAATTTGCATTAGGAAATAACCTATCTTAGAATATTCTCCAATAATAGCCTTTCCTTTATTTGTATTTCCTATTTTATGCTCTTCCCTATTTAGAGGGTTCCTATTTTATTTCTGTTAGTTATTATATATATATGCTGTGTAGTATAAAGTTTGAGAGAAAGGAAATAAAATTGTCTAATTTATGCATGGTATAAGAGCTCAGAAACTCGTTGTTCGGTTTCGAGGACTCTGTCTCCTTTCTCTTTGTCCTCTGAAAGTTTTGAGTTCGAAGAAGTGCCAAAACGTCCTCTGTGTCTTCTCCTCACAAAGGCTCATAGTGCTCTGTGATTTGAATGCTTCACTTCGTGCGTCGCATATCGTCAGTTGACCAGAATGCTCTTTTTGAATCCTTCCTAATCGTGCATTGCAGATCGTACGCACTCGAGCTAGGTCGCAGATCACTTCCTGCGTTTCTACCATTCCTTCCACGACTGTTGATGTTTGAATCCTTTGTTCGTACACCCCGAACGTAGGACCATCTCGTTCATGCATTGAAGATCTGTTTGAATCCTTTGATTCGATTCAACAGAACGGGTCGTCATATACTCCTCTCACAATGCTGCTGCCATTCTATTCGACGAAAGAGTCAACTTGCCCTAGCCTCCATTTCACAAGTTGTTGACTTGCAAATGGCCTAATCTCCTCTCACTGAGTGTCGAACGCTTGGAGATTGAGAGCTACACACCTCCATCTAGTTCCTGTTTGGTCATCCAATCAACAGTTGAACTAAATGTCCTCCTCTTGCTTTCATCCTAGCAGCAGGTTTATAAGATTCATACTTCACAATCTAATCATGTTCAAACATGGCATGACCTCACTATCTGTTCTTTGGAAGTCACCTCAATTTTAAAGTCTACACCATCAACATCCATCGCGCCTGATAACTTCTCTTATCTAGTCATGGACTATAAATTACATGGCCACAATTTTCTTCAATGGTCTCAGTCCATCTTCATGTACATTTATGGCAGAGGGAAAGATGGATATCTCACAAGCGAAATTTCAGCACAAGAAATGATAGATTCCAAATATCAGGCTCAATAAATTCCTTGATCACAGAGGTTGAATGAAACTACCTGCTCTATAGAACAACCAAGAAGATATGGGAGGTTGCACTTGTAACTATTCTAGCATTGAAAATTTCTTAGAGCTATTTGAGATTTAGACCAAACTGCATGATCTACGATAAGGAGAATTGAGTGTTACTCAATATTTCAATGCACTCACACGATGTTGGCTGTAATTGGGCATGTATGAGGTTTAGGGCTGTCAAAAAAACTCATCGTTCACAAATAGGTCGGGGAGTTCGTGTTCGATTCATTCAACAAGCAAACAAAACAAACACAAACAATTTTTTTTTCTTCGGTTTATAAACTAACCAATCAGGAACAGTCATTTGTTTGATCATGTTCGAATCGTTATTGTTCGAAATATAAAATAATTTAAAATAATTATGTATAAAAAATCTATCATATTTTAAAAATAATTTTATACTCTAAAAATTTATTATATTTTAAAAAATTAAATCTTATAAATTATAATATGATCTTCAGGTTCGCCTCGTAGCTTATATTAAATTATATAATTTCGTATTTATCTTCAGGTTTGTCTCTTAGCTTAAATTTTCTTATATTTCTTTTAAATTTATTTAGTTTCTTTCAGTGAAACAGTTTTTGGTAGTGAAATCTCGTATATTGACTGTATATCTGAATTTTTTATGGATGAGATGTGATATTATGGTTTTAATGTGAGCTGTGCTTCGACTATTTTACATTTGTGTTGTGATTCATACAGGTTTAAGTATTAATTTCATATAGGTTTAAGCTTTTTAAAGATTTCGAACAAGTCAAACAATACAAACAAATTTATAAGATTTCAAACAATTTGAACAATTCAAACATTTCAAACATATTTCAAACAAATCAAACTGAACATAAACAGTAACTTCACGAACAATTTCAAACACGAGTCTATTTTAAACACACGTAATTTGAAACGAACCGAATACGAACACGAGCTCTGTTCGTTTGTTTTCGGTTCGTTTACACCCTTAATGAGGTTCACTCTTGGAAATGTCTTAATATTCTGCCTTATATACTTAGCTTTGCTGAATAAAAAAGGACAATCAAATTCCTCCTTGATATTGAAGTTAGGGGAAGAATAATGGGGATCAAACCTATCCCTACCATCCGGAAGGCCATTGCAGAAGTTCGAAGGAAGGAGAGTAAAAAGAAGCTGATGATGACAAAATCACACCACACCATCAGTTGAAGGATCAACCTTATACACTCAAAACTCCTTTCATAATAACAAGACCAAGAAAGGACGTCCATGATATGACTATTTTAAAAAACTCTGTCATGTGAAATAAAAGTGTTGGAAATTACATGACAAATTTGTAGTTGAGAAGCCATCAAATAGAAACTATGATAGGAGAACCGCACAAATGTTATCACAACCAACTACGATTAAAAAATCATTCCATTCACTGAGAGCAAATTGAGGCACTACAGAAAATGTTAATCTTAGTTCTGGACAAGTATCACAATCCTCTGCCAAGTAGCTCCCTAGCTTGATGACATATGTATCATTTCCTCTTGTATTGCTAACAATGGAAGATCTAAACCTTGGATAATATATTCAGGTGCTTCGGATCACATGACTGGAGACATCCATGCTCTCATCAACTACCAAGAGATCGCCACCTTCTAATTTGTTAGACTAGCCGATTGATCTCACTCCAGGATTGTTAGGAAAGGAAAAGTGAAAGTCTCCAAAGATATTCATCTTTTTTCTATGTTATATGTAGCCAGACTAGATTGTAATTTACTTCCAATTAGTAAGCTTACTAATGAATTAAATTGTGTTACTAAATTCCATTCTAACTCTTGTGAATTTAGGTAGTGGATTCATGAAGGTGATTGACATTGATGAATTGCATTGAGGTCTACACCTGCTGAAGGAGAGCTATTTTCTTAACACAAAAGTGTCATCTCTACCATCCTCTTCTCGTGTTCCTGAATCTGTTGTGTCAGAGTCTGTTGAGAGTTGTTCTATTGTGAAATTATCTTTTAGGTCATTTAATTTTCATTATGTTGTAAAATTATACACTAATCTCTTTATTAATAAAATTTTTGAGTTTTATTAGTGTAAATCTTGCGAATTGACTAAGTATATTCGTCATGTATAACCTCTCTCTCTGTATAACTTCTCGTATTCTTTCGCTTTCATCCACTGATGTTTGGGAAACATCAAAATTGAGAACCATCAATGGAGTCAGATGATTTGTGTCCTTCATTGATGATCACATTAGAACCAATTGGATTTTCTTTATGAAAGAGAAATATAAAACTACTCAAATCTTTTAGTCCTTCCATGTTATGATTTACATTTAGTTTCAATGCAAAATTCTGATTCTTAAAATTGATAATGAAAATGAATATTTCAACTTGATCTTTGGATCCTATTTTGTAAAGAATGATATCATCCGCGTGAGTTCTTGTGTCGAGGCTACATAGCACAATAGGATAGCCGAGAGGAAGAATATGCATCTTCTTGAGTTATCTAGGTTTATAATCTTTTCTCATAATGTACTAGCATTTTTCTGGGGAGATGTAGTGCTCACAACCACCTACCCCATTAATAAAATGCCAAGCATGGTCATTGGATTCAAAGCCCCTCTCCATGTTTTGCTGGAAATATGTACTCATGTTAAAGCTTTCTCATCCATTTTTCCTTTAAAAATATTTTTCTGTCTCTTTTGTTCATAGTCACCAACCAAACCACACAAAATTTGATGCAAAATCCATCGAATGTATCTTTATTGGTTATGCTTCTAACAAAAGGGGGACAAGTGTTATTCTTCAATTACTAAAAAATACTATAACTCCATGGATGTTACATTCTTTAAAAAATACTACCTCAAATTGAAATTCAGGGTGAGAATTTGGGTAAATATCAGATTTGAGACACTACTCTGGATAACCACACTAGACCACAACCTATCTACTTCCCTTTAACCATCCTGTCTCTCAAATTTCACCACTTGAGGACATCCAGCTTGAGACTAACAACAAGAAAATGCACAAGGAACTTCATGCGTACACTAAGTGAAAGAAACCTATTGAGCAGGACAAAGATAATATGCAACCAGAGGAATATTCAGAAACAAATTTGAATCCACAAATCCGTGAAGTTTCAAGGAAGGTGGAATCTAGTGGAGAAACTAAGGAAAGTTACACAAATTATTCTATCCAGGAGTGTATTGCCATTAGAAAGTTATTCTTATCTTATAAAATTTTTGTATCTAATCTCGATGGTATGCAAATACCCAGGTCTATTAATGAAGTACTTCAAAGCCCGTAATATAAAAAGATAGTTGAAGAGGAGATCCAAATACTTGATCTAAATGACACGTGGACGTTTACAAAGCTTTCTTCATATAAAAGACCTTTTGGGTGTAATAGATGTTCAATGTCAAGTACAAATCTGATGGGAGCATTGAGAGGTTTAAGGCTAGGTTGGTGGCTAAATATTTCTCTTAGTCTTATGAGATAGACTATGAAGAGACCTTTGCACCAGTGACCAAGCTAAACAATGTAATAGTTTTTTTTTTTTTGAGTGTGAACAAAGGTGAGAAGTGCTTCAACTTGATATCAAGAATGTCTTTTTGAATGAAGACCTTGTGGAAGAAGTATATATGGAGATCTTACCAGGGCTGGAAAATGACTCGAATAAACATCTGATTTGTAAATTTAGAAAGTCACTTTATGACCTTAGACAATCTCCACGGGCTTGGTTTGACAAGTTTGCCAAGACTATGAAATCTAATGGGTACATCTAATGTCAAACTGATTATATTTTGTTCATAAAGCATACATAGGAAGGTAAGAGAGATATACTCTTTATCTATGTAGATGGTATGATTCTGACAGATGAGGACAAAAAAGAGATTGGGAAAATTAAAGAGATTTTTGCCATTGAATTTGAAATTAAAGATCTAAGAACTATGAGATACTTTCTCGACATAGAAGTGGCCAGGTCTAAGAAGAAATTGTGATATCCCAAAGAAAGTTCGTCCTAGACTTACTAAAAGAGACAGGAATGCTGGGGTATAAACCTACTGAGACGCCTATGGATTTCAAAAGAATGTTACAGTCAGGGGGAGAAAAGATATCAGTGGAAAATGTTTAATTCCAGAGATTGGTGGGAAAGATTATCTACCCATCACACGCTAGACCTGATATCATTTATTCAGTCAGCATTGTGAGTCAACAGACGAATAGTCCAAATGAAGAGTATTTGAAGATGTTTAGGGAATGTTGAGGTTTCTTAAAAAGACTCCTGACTGGGGTTATTGCTTAAGAAATTAGACAGAAATTAGACCACAGGGAGGTAGAAGTTTACACTGATGCTCATTGGGTAGAATAACTGACGGATAGAAGATTCACATTTGGGTATTTTTCTTATGTATGAAAAAATCTCATAACATGGAGGAGCAAGAAGCAAACAATTGATCTGAGTATCGGACGTTTTCTTTGGGAATTTGTGAAGAAATGTGGATTCAAAGGTTCTTAAATGAGTCAAAATGCTCCACAGTCAATCCCATGCAGATATTCATTGGCAATCGTTAACATTATTATTACAAAAAATCCTATGCATCTTAACAGGACAAAATACATTGAGATTGATAGACATTTTATATCTGAATAGGTCAATGGTGACCTTATACACTTTGTCTATATTTTAACTCATCTTCAAGTTGTTGATGTCTTGACTAAATCCCTACCTCCATGTAGCTTTATTGTTTTGAATACTAAGCTGGGTATTTACAAAGTCTATGACCCAGGTTTAGGGGGAGTGAAATTCCTGCCATGCAAGAAATCTACATTAGGATGAAATTTATTTCCTCGTCTCATAATATATTTCAATAATAGTATTTCTTTAATTTATATTTTCTATTTTATGTCCTTCCATATTTAAAGAGATTTCTATTTTATTTCTGTTAGTTATTCTATGTATATGTTTGATTTGTGTCATATCATTCTTATTTTGAAAATGTGAAAAAAATGTTTTTTTAAAGTTTTCAAGGAATATGAAGTCACATCTGCACAGTGCAGGGTGATGGTAAAATTATATTCTTAGGATGCCTGCTTATTTTTCTTTCCTTTTTCAGACTGGATTTTTCGAAAAGCTATTCTTTCCTTCGATGTGAAGTACTACATCGTCATCCCTTATTCCCTTCAAATTAGTGCTATTTTTTTATTAATTTATAGGGGCATTTTCATACATTCCAGATATGCTCATGTATTTGTCTAACACTTCAACATTTATATTTACATGCATACCACTCAAATCTTTAACATTACATCAAAACTATCATCATCACTATTTTTTAAAAAGTGAAATACCCCTTTTTCATGTAGCTTTGTGACACTAAGATGTTACGAAGTGTAAACATCAAACTTCGGGTGTTAAATATATTAATGCATAAGACTTGTGTTGTATGTATTAAAACTTCGCTAATTTGGGGGCATTTACATTCATACCATCTAATACTTAAGTTTTTACATATCTAACTTCTAAACTTTGCTTTTTTTACATTTATCACATATAAAAAAAAATCACAGTTATTTGAATTTTTTAAAAAATAAAAACACTTTTCATGCACAGGGAAGGTGACATGTTTGTAAAAATTGAAGAAGTTTTGTTGTTAGACATGTAAATACATAAGAATTGAGCGGTATGCATGTAAATCTTCCAATTTGTAGTTTTCTGTCTGCACATCTGCACTTTCCTATCGGCACGAAATATCTCTCTCATTTCTGAGTTTATATTCATTTTTTTTGTAGGGAAGTATTAGCAGCATTTTCTGCATATTTGAGGAGATTGCTGAGCATCCTGGCTGGAAAGATTTGGGTCAAGAGGAAGCCAAGATGGCCCAGATGTAAAGAAAACAACATCCTTTTAGTATCACAGAACAAGAGAATCCTCAACACTGAGAATTCCATCTGCCAAACCGCTTAAAATTGAGGTATTGACGCAAAACTATTGAAATGCCTGTTCCACTGCTTTTCTAAGTAGAGTCCAGGATCCTGTATTTTATCAGATACCTTTGTGATTAGCAAATGTTGGCGTCGCAGCATCTTTTTTTTAAGTTAGTACATAAATAGAGTCAAATTATTTTGGTATTTCTGTTGTCTTATTAACAATTAACTGAATCCACATTTAACAGTGTGTAGGTCTTCGTAAATATGTAATATATTGTTTTATATTTCTTGCACCCCGAATTATGACATGTCTTATTTTTGGCATCTGCAAAAGAAAATTTTATTGATATACGTAGAGTTTTGATATGAATTCACATGATTGTAGCAGTCGAATAGTATGAGTAGATGGAGATGCGGCAATCCTAACGACAATTATATATTTCTAATCAAATTAACGTATTATATACAACACAGGATATATGAGAGTTGCTCAATTTGTTTCCTTATAAAGTATATGCTAGTTGCCATTTGCTCATTATCTCTTCATCTTTTTCAGTGTCATCATCTTCATCTTTCTTGTCTTGAGTTTCAAACTCAAATTACGGAAAAAATATTACATCAGTACTACACACGTAGAGCTACGTGAGTAGTAGCCAATAAAATCACGTCACGAAAAAAAAATGGCCCGGTAACACGGGGGAATATTCTCCCCGTGTTATTCACGTGTTATTGTATGTTATTCATGTGTTATTGTGTTCTGAGAATATTCTTGGTGTTATAATAACACAATAACACATCAATAACATAAAATAGCACTATAAAATAACACTTGAATAACACGGGGGAATATTCCCCCTATATTATAGGACAAATTTTATTTTTTTTCTGTCATACATTTTTTGTTTTTCTCGTCTTGATTTCTCCGGTAACACGGGGGAATATTCTCCCGTGTTTTTCAGGTGTTATTGTATGTTATTCATGTGTTATTCATGTGTTATTGTATTCTGGGAATATTTCATGTGTTATAATAACATGAATAACACATGAATAACACGGGGGAATATTCCCCCGTGTTACCGCGCCTTTTTTTTTCGCGTGGCGTGATTTTATTGGCTAGCACGTAGCTCTACGTGCGTAGTACTGATATAATATTTTTCCAAATTAAGATTCACACTCCATATCAAATTTTGCGTGGTTGTTATTTCATCTAGTATAAATAAATATTTATATGCAAATATGGTTTTTTTTTTGTTTTTTCATTTAATAATTAGAATTAACCTTTTCAGTTTTGCACTTATAACCAGTGTTATGAAAGTCATACTAGATATTGAACCGGTTAAACGAAAGGTTCATGATTGAATCGGGGTTAAATCAATCGGATGACTTAATAAATCATAGATATATTAAAAAATGATAATACTTTTGATTTGCATGCCACAATTCCTTTGTATTTAAATATCTAACACCTAAAATTCAATTTTAACATGTCATTTTATATATGTATGAAAACATCTATTTCACTTTTAATTTAGTGATAAGTTTTAAGCGATATAAATGATTTTGGTGGTTTAAATGCAAAAAACATAGAGTTTAGGTGTTAGATATGTAAATAAATAAAATTGGGTGGTATCTACATAAATTGAGTTTCTTTGTAATACTGATGTTTTCGATATGATACAAGTGATTTGGGTTGTATGAATATAAAAACTAGGGTTTAGGTGTTGGATATGTAAATTACATAAAATTGTGGCATTCATGTAAATGCCCGGCTGTTTACATAAAATTTGGTGGCATGTATGTAAATTTAATTTCCTTAAAATAAATTAGAGTTCACCTTTTTTTTCCTTAATCTTACTTCACAAAAATAAATAATTGATAATAATAATAATAATAATAATAATAATAATAAACTGGCAAGGTCCATGTATCCTATGAACCAAATGATTCCTTTTGGTTCATCGATCCGAGGGTTGAATTGTCTGTTCAATCGAGTTTTGGGTGGTTTTATGCGGGAAGAATTTTTATGCGAATCGGAACCGGACTTATGACTGGTTCATGGTCGAACTGGGCAGGTTCGATTCGATTTTCTAAACCTTACAACAACTACATGAGTGATGCTTAGAAGAGCTTTATTTTTGTTGGTGTTTTATTCAAACTCTCTACAGACAATTACTCTATGAATAAGAGTGTTTCATTAAAGATTTACCTTGAGCACATCATATCATACTGAACAGTTGAGTGAATTCTTTTTGACATAGATGAACTACAATGTTGTCAAATGTAAAAGAAATGCTTCTTCTCATCTCCATAACATGTGATTTTGATTTGATTTAATAAATTATTTTTATTTTATAAAAGTGAGAAAATGATAAGTTTATATGAAGTCTTCTTATAAATGGTCATACTATTTATATGGCGAAATATTTATAAAAGATCAGTAGTCAAAGCTATTAAAAAAAATAAAATTTTGAAGCTATAAAAATTAGTTTAACAACAAATCACTGGCACTACCATTAACATAACATCAACATTAGAACATATTCATAATTAATCACGATGTTATCACTTGAGATTAAATTTATTAAATCAAAATTGATCCGTGCGGAAAAGCCCACAAAGGTAGAGTGATTGGTTATCGTTTTTGGCATTTTACGAGACTTTTAACACACATTCACGTAATTAAAGAGAAGTGAGCAAGATAAGTCGACTCACTTTTTAATGTGGAAAATCTTGAAAAAGAGAAAAAAAAAAACGTCTTGTTGAAATAATGCACTATGAATGATGAGTGCACATGTCCACTCTTCTCTTGATTAATGAAGATGAAGTTATAAAGACGATCATTTTAAATATGACAGTAGTTCAACGATAATATGTGTAGTCTGATTGTAATGAACGTAGTTCTTGGTGATAATAGATTGCAATAGCTATAATCGATTGTTGTGAACTTAGTAGTATGTCGTGGATGTTATAGACGATGGTTATAACGTTAGCTTGTCGTATAGGCCGTAGTTGAAAGTTATGGTAGTTTTTGAACATGTGGGTCGTAGATGGTTGCTTCAGGAGCTTTGGTTGTTCATAGATGTTGTAGTTGGAACTTACAAAAGCTGTGAGCCACATAGGTCATATCTAATCACATAGACTGTAATGGTGAGCTGTGATGACGTCCGTAGGCTACAAGGGTCAGAGCCAAGACTTGTAAAAACTGTAGGTCACATAGGTCGTATTTGATCACATAGAACATAATGGAAAGCTGAGACGATATTATAGGCTAGGAGTCGGGAGTTGAAGGAGTTGTGAGCCACGTAAGCGGTAGTTGGTCACATAGGTTGTAGTGGTGAGCTATGATGACGTCCGTAGGTCGTAGGCCCCAGAGTCGCGAGTTGCATGAGCTCTAATATATGTAGGCCATAATTGGTCACATATGTCATAGTGGTGAGTTACGATGGCGTCTATAGGCTGTTGGGGTCAAAGTCGATAGTTGCACTAGCTGTGGACCATGTAGGCCGTAGTGGCTATATTTGGTAACATAGGTCGTAGTGGTGAGCTGTGATGACATTCGTAGGCTGCAGACACTGTATTTAGGAGCTGCACGAGTTATCAATCATGTAGGTCATAGTTGGTCATATAGTTCGTAGTGGTGGGCTACAAGGAGAGAGCTTCGGGAGTCCGGAGAAACTCACCTTCTTCAGAGTGCTTTTTTACCCAATCTTCGAGAGGTGTTGTACTATATGTGGGGTGCATTGTTGCATAATCACCGGGATGTGTCATTACATCGTATTTGGGGTGTGTTATTATATCATCTTTGGGAGGCATCGTCGCACCGTATTTGGGGTGTATTGTTATACCGTCATCTGGTTGCGTCGTTGCACCGTATTCGAGTTACGTTGCTTTACTTCTTCGGGAGACGTCATTGCAATGTTTGTGGGGTGCATTGTTACATCGTCTTCGAGAGGCATCATTGCACCATCTTCAGGAGGCATCATCGCCAGTATGTTTGTTATGTTTCAACAAGATCCTCTTTCATGTTGTTATGTTAATGTGAAGGAGAAATTTGTCCCTTAATTGCTTGGTTGGTGATCAATAAGATCTTCTTTCACATTACTATGAAGAATAGAGTTTTCCTTGACCTTCGTAGCTGACGATGGTCATGATCTTCTTTTGGGTTGTTGTGAAGAGGAAAGTTATATCCGACTTGTGTAATAGATGATCAACATGATCTTCTTTAGTGTTGCTTTCATGCTTTCTGGGGAGGTTTCCTACGCTACTGCGACTATTATTGAAGGAGCTCGCCTTCTTAAAAATCAACATAAGTATCAAAACTTTGAGGAGGCGATATCGACACAATTTGATGATGTGCTGACTTGTTGCTTTTGTACAGCATGTGTTGATCTTTCTAGCATTTCAATTGTTTGATGTGACATTTGTACATGGTTATAATGTGTTTGTTCTTACTTTTTTTTTGCTTGATATAGTAAAAATATCGACGTTGTTTTTTAGGTTATTTTTGTCTTTCTTTCTGAGTTGTGGTTTCCCCTCTTTTGGGATGCTTTTGCTCCCACTTCCAGGGAATTGTTACCCAATATCTATGATGATGTCACCCAATTTTTGGGTTGCCACTACCCTACTTATGGGTTATTGCTGATGCCTTTAGGCTATTGTTGCCTCCATCTCGTGTGCATGTGTATAATTTCATTGAATTCTTCTGAGGCTTATGCCTTTGAGTTTTTTTGTCTTCTCAAATGTGTAGAAGTAAGCAATCAAAGTTAGCACACACACATTGTATAAAAAATTATTGTACCTTTGAGGCCCACATCTTTTGAGATTTGTGCCTTCTTAGGCTTGTATCTTCCAAGGCTGATGTCTTCTTACGTTTTTTTATGTTTATGTGCATTCCAAAGCTTGTAATTTTCTGAGGACTTTATTATGCTTGTGCCTAGCATTTTGAGGTTCTTGATGTACTTATGTTTTTTGAGGCTTATAGCCTTCTTTAGTCTTTGATGTGCATGTGCCTTTTATAGTGAAGAGAGACTGCATACCTTCACACCACATCTTGGCTGACAAACCTAGTCGCAATATATCCCTTATTGTCTATCGCTGGCAACGACGTCCTTTGATGTCTTCCGGGAAGCATTTCTAGAATAAGATAAGAGAATGCCAAAGAGGGGAGATAAATGCTACTCAGTTTTGGTTATGGAGAGACTCGGGTGTACGAAAATCATTCAACCCACCCTTATTTATAGATGTTTCGACATTGTGTCACCGGACATGGCACCTCTGGGTTAGG